TTGATGATTTGGAAGAATCCCCAGGCCTCGCACGCACTGCCCACCTGAGATACCAGCTCTTCGACGTTGCCGAGGGAGAGATCGATTACGGGGATTTCGCCGGCGACGGCGTCGGCATCCACCTTTGCAAGGTTGGGACGGTGTTCTGGGGATTGTACATAGGCTGGATCGATATCTCCCATGTCTCACAGATCTCTTGCCCCTCTTTCAACAAATTGAATCTATATCCCCATATATCATGGCAGTGGTGAAAACAGGGTTCATGTTTTGGCCAGCGAGGAGCGCAAATTTTGTTTGCTCCCCCGTTGTGAACCTGGTCGTATAAAGCACTGAAGTGCATTTTTTTAGCAAGCCTGGGCGGATTGAGTCCGGTGAGGGTCAGTACATGTTTTTAGTAGAACACTAGAACATGCTAGATTAATTTAAATAAATTCAAAAAATTTATTAAGTTAATTATTTATAATAAATAGGTGTTATTTTTTTTAGAACATCTTTACCAGTAATATGTATCAGCAATAACCATCATTTAGTAAAACTTTTAATATATGCAACTATTATTAAAATAAATAAATAAATATAAAAAATAAAATAAATTTAAATTTTATATTTAATTGAATTAAAAATCAACCTAACTTCAGTGTTAACAGTAAAAACACTTAAAAGGTGCTTTACATCGTCTGCTAATGCGACTCTTGCATATGGGGATCTGAACCCATGATTTTGTTAATTATGAGTTAACTGTTTACCAACTCAATTAATCTTCCTGAGCCTAAGTGCATCTTTCATCTGGAAGTTGACTGTCCTTTGTTAGGGTTAAGAAAAAATGCTGACAAAAAGCGCCGACCTGCGACGCCGCCCATTTTGGAGGTGTCCAACTTGAGTTTTTTTTTTTAAATATAATTGTAAATTTGTAAATATTTTTAGAGCAAGAGAAAAATTCAATACAGTCCAAAAGTTAAATTTTTATAATGAAAAAATTTAAATAATTTTAAATTGAAAAAATAAAAAATAGAAGTTTAACAGCATATATTCTAAATCATTAGAAAGACCTAATTTAATTTTTGTAATGTACTCTATGTGGTAAAATTTAGTGAAAATCATGTGATGTGATATCAAATGGGCGACATAGATTCCATGGATGGCTCCGCCCCGCCCGTGATCTGACAAACATATAAAAATTGTGCGGCTCACCTAGCCACGTCGGACGTGGCGGTTGGCAACTACGTGCGACTTCCATCGCCCCAGGTCTTTTAAGTTTTGATTTTAAAGAGTTATTTATAATATATTTAATGTTTGTTTTTTAATTTTACTTTATTCAATTGTTTGAAAGGGAAGGGGAACGGAGAGATGTGATTATATGTAAATATGGAGATGGTTAATTGGCGGTACCCACCGAGGAAATGTTGAATGCCCAGTTGGAGGGGTTTTTCCCGTCTCCCTCAGCTACGAACTGATTCTGAGGGCATGTTTAGAAAACCATAAAAATATTTTTAAAAGCTTTTTTTTTATAAATTGATACAAACTCCTACGTATATTATTTTGCATATCATAAAATTATTTTTAAAATTATAATTTTATTTTTGTCCAAACACTTCCTAAAAGAGAGAGAGAGCATGAGCTTTTATTGGGACAGAGGGAGAACGCGAGCACTTATATCTGTGAAGCTTCTTTAATGCCACGTCACTCTCTCGCATCATTTAATTGTTAACCGTGCTTGGAAGAGATGAGCATCAAATTTTAGTGGTATGAATTTAATAATTTGTTTTTATTTTACAAGTTAACATTTTTATAATAATTTTATATAAAAAATCAAATATTAATCTAATTTTTTTTTTTTAAAAAAAGGAGATGAGGGATCCTCCCCCTGTTTGTTCCTAATCAACTTCTCGAATAATCAAACTTTGTGTTTTGAACGAGAGACAATTTTATTCAGCCAACAAACTCGGAGAGGAAGCCTCGAAGCCCAAGACACTAAAACAAACAAAACAACAACACCAGAAACAACAAAAAGGCCCAAAACACGCCTTTCCAAATTTCGGCTTCATGGTGAGAGCACAGCACCATTTCTAAATAGATTTCTTAAATTAGAAAAAGATAAGGAAAATAATCCCGGGGTTGATAATACCCGACGCAGACACAGGATATATGGATGGATGGCGGTGAAGATGGCTAATCCAAGGCCTTGAAGTGGTGAATCTGGAGATTCTCGACCTCGCGCTTCTTGAACTCACCGTAGGCTCTGTGGGCATAGAACTTGCCCCAGTTGAATTCCCTGTACCTTGCGGGGTCCTGCTCGTCCACAAGCTCCTCCAATGGCTTTATCATTACATGCAGAGCTGGGAAGAAGAAGAACGGAATTGATATCCTTTCCTTCTCGCTGTTCACCACCGCCCTGTGCTCCACGCTCTCATACTTCTCATTGCTCCAAACCTGCACAAATCCCCCGACACGACCATGAACAAACAAAGACACGTACTTTTGCTCTTATCAAGTTATCTATCGATGATGATAATATACCTGAAGAAGGTCGCCGACATTGACCACCAGGGCATGTGGGACTGGTTTCACAGGAATCCACTCGCCGTCAGATTTTCTCTTTACCTCAAGTCCGATAACATCGTCCTGGGCCAGCAGAGTGAGAGCACCAGAATCCTTGTGCCTCCCAACTCCGAGAGCCAAGTGAGGGCAAGGACATGGAGGATAGTAATTGAGCCGGAGGATGCTCACTTGTTTCTCCTGGAAGTATCCATGGAATCTCTGAGCTGGTAAGCCCAAGCTCAACGCAATGAGCTCCATTAACTTGTATGATACCTTCTCCACTTCACGTCCATACTCTTCCAATGTCTCCCTGCCATAGACATGCAATTTCATATTTTTATTGAGAATGGAAATCTTTCCGTAATGTTTTTCTCAAATGCTGCTGAAATTACCTGAATTCAGGTGGGTACTGGGGCCATCGATTGGTGATTGTCTTCATTTCCTGGTCCTTTGGATCAGGAGAAACTGGGAATTGCAATGAGTTCTTAAGAAGAAAACCATACGTTTCTTTCCAGTCCCTGACGTTCTTAGTATGCTCGCTGTCGTGGTACCCCAACGGGTTCACTTCGTCTCGTTTGACTTTGATCTTCTCCTCCTTGCTTTGACAGAAGAACTTCCTCGTACAGACGTCGAGCTTCCTCTGCAATTCGACGGGCACACCGTAGTTGATGATTTGGAAGAACCCCCATGCCTTGCATGCACTGCCCACCTGAGAGACCAGCTCTGCCAGGTTCCCATGGGAGAGATCGATGACGGGGATTTCGCCGGCGACGGTGTCGGCGTCCACCGTTTCAGGCTTGGGACGATGGTCTGGGGATTGTAGGAAGGCTGGATCAATGGCTGGGTGAATGTCTCCCATGTCTGATAGATTCCCTGCCCTTCCCCTCAAAACGCTGAATCTATATATCATGCCAGGAAGTGGAAAACTGAAAATGTTATCAACGTGATTTATAAATTCTAAGGTCCACTTAAAATTGAAATTGTTTGTGCGTGGGCTGGCAGGCGCTTCTCGCCAAATGTTCAGTGGGACCACTCACACTGAGCCATTCGTACCACTTTAATAATTTGTGTTAGCAGTATATGGCTGGGAATCGGTTGATGCTATGTGCCCGTTAGTGATCCGTCATTTTTTTGTCCGTAAATAAATAAGAAAAAAAAAATTCAATGTTAAATATTAAAAATATAGTAATGTCATCAGCTCGGTCAACTATTATATTATTATGCCACGTGTTATGCCACACCATCATTCTTATTGGGAAAACAAAGAAACCTCTCCTCCTTTATGGTCATTCCCATCCATAACAATTAGCAACTTTTTTTAGTACTTGTTTGGAATCATAACAGCATTATTAAGAAGCTGTTCTTTTAATAATGATTTATGAAATATGAAATAAATTTGTGGAAAATATTTTATCACAACTTACTCGATCATAAGTAGTTATATAAGGATTTTCTAACAAGGATTAACCTCTTTTTTTTGGGGGGGGGGGTCCTGTCCCTTCAATTAACGACTGTGCTATGGCCCCCTGACTCATCCGTGCAGATTTAATAATGTGGAACAGCAACAGTAGGGTGTTGGCGAGAAAAAAGACAGCCGAAGGGAGAAATTACTGCGTGCAGTGGAATTACCTTCTCATTGGTGCTCTCCCCAGTTAAAGTAGCCAGCTCATGTAATTTTTAGGGAATAATGAAAAAAAGAAAAGAAAAGAAAAGAACCTGAAGATTGTTAAATCTTAAATCAAGTTTGTTTTCCAAAGTTTAATAGGTTTTAACTACACCTAATTTGTAAATAACAACATATTTTTATAAAAAATTTTAATTTGAGATTTAGTATTTTTTATGTTCTTTTTCTGCCAGTCTCCCTAAATTCAGCATCAACGTTGGGAGTGGGATTGCAGATATAATCATTTTGGGAACGAAATAAATGTTTGTGGGACCCACGATTTATTATTTCTGTGATCGTGTTGGGATTGGGATCAGACAACGTGCGCAAAAAAGGTGAGGCTCATGTAGTGTTATTATCCCAAATTTTCTTTCACGGTTTGGAGAGGAAAATAATTTCTCAAACTTGTCCCTGTTCTCACTCACCACACACTGTCGGACTATCCTTTTCCTGCTTTTGATTATATTTTGAGCACGAAAATGCCATCAGAAACTACCTGATTTTCTAATCTCTCTGTTACATCAATACTATTTTCATATAAATTATAATTATAATACTTATAGTTAAAAATTAAAAATAAAATAAAAAGAGCTTGGGTTTTCTTAAAGAAAACTAGATTTTAGTTTTAACTTGTTATTATTTTTATCTTAACTTTTTTTTTTTATTATTGTTTTAGTTTGTGAGGTGCTACATTTTGCCAGCACCCACGGACCATCCGGTTCCAACCACACAACACAGATTTGCCGTGTGGCTGGTGTGCGCCTCAAAAATTAAAAGGAAAGGGAAAAAGAACCAGAGATACAAGGAGAACGGTTCGAAAACAAATTATCAAGTGTATACATTTCTTCCTGCTTCATTTTCAGGCGTAGAAGTGATCCGAATGGGGTTCAATCAACAACGTCACACTTCGAAAAATCAAACCTGGTTGCGTAGTGTCATGTCATGTTCCTTCTACTTCTAAAATTTGACTATTTACACTAAAATCTGATGTGCGAGAAGAGTAGGATAATAGATAAAAGCATGGTTGCGTTCAAGCAGCAGCGTTCATAGAACTTGAAAAGACAACATGGGATAAGAATTGCAGCCCATCCTGGACTTTCTCTACTGCCATTTTTTGATCGGAGTGAAGATGTTCGGAGAGGGCACCCGCTTTTTCCTGAATTGAAGTCCCCGGATGAACTTCGTGAGACTCAGCAATAGCACTTTTAATGGCTGCTTGATATGCCTCAGTTACGTCAGATATTCCTGTTAAGACATTAACATAACTTGTAACTACCGCTTGTAAATTAAATCCTGATAATACTATATGGAATGACAAACAAGAAGTATTTAGGTGAGTGCTATTAGATTCTTCAATAAATATGTATATATGTGAGGACAAAAAAAATCTCTTCTGGTGGGGATGCCAAGATCTCAGTACTGTAGGCATCATTATTTGGAAATTTACACTGACACCTAACTGGAATGCCATCAATATGATTACAATCCGGGGTGCACGTGATAGACAACTAACCTGTAATAAAACTGTTGGAAACTGCTTCCACATATCCTATCATTGTTTGGGCATTTACTCTGATCATCTTAGCTTTTTCAAGGACATCCTCAGGCCACTCAATGTTCAACTTCTGCTCATCATCGTCTTCATCCTTGGCTTTGTTAGCAGCAGATATGATGGATTTGCCGATGATCAACAGTTGAGACACCGCAAAACAGCACATTTCTGATAGTCTCTGCAAAGAAAAGCAAACTGTCTCGCTCGAATTTCCAACAAACTTCAGAAGTTGAAATAAGGAATTTTAAAGATAACAGAACTTATTCATAATATTACAGTAAATTGAAATATATTTTCTCATACATGAACACCCTCTGAATGAAGAGATTCTAATCTTCTGGCAGTTTTGTGAATGATATCATTGACAGTTAGTCCACCCAAGGTGCTTGTAAATCTGCAAAACAATTATAGGAAGACCAGTTAGAGCATGTAACATAATGAAGACCTCACATTCAATTCAGCTTCGTTTTCTAGTTTGTTCATACTCGTGTGTCTAATATCCTACATATTGAAATGCAAATTTGAGCACATTAGAAATGGAACAGATTTAATTCTCTGGTACATCGTAACAGTGATGGGTGATAAAAGTACAAATAATCAAGGAGGGAAGGGGTTAGATACCCCGCAGCCATTTCAGCAGCATTGCGGACACTTGCGTCATGTAAATTCTTCATCTCATCACTGCTCCCCTCATTTCCTTTTTCTACTTTCTTTCCTTTGCTTAAATCAACATTGATTCCATCATTTTCAGCACTCAGATTAAAAATTTGTTGGACCTCTTTAAGCTTCCCATCGTATAAAGATTTTTGTTCCAGTGATAACTTTGTTTTCCTTCGGTTGAATAACAGGGCATAATGACTAGACAATGCCTCCAGTTCCTGGCAGTATCACACACATATTAAATGTTTCGCTAAAGACACAATATCAACAATGATAATTTAGTATTGTGACAAGGTTACCTCCAACTGCTCTGGACCTCCGTATATGTAAAAGCATCGATCAAATGTCATTTCCTCTAATGATTGATCGTCATCTTTTTGTTCTTCAGCTTCTTTATCAGCCCTCTCAACCTCAATTCCAGTTTCAGTAATTAGCAAGTCCATTGTCTCCTTACCAACATATTCTAGTACTTGCATTCCCTTTGCAGTAAAAGCTTTACCACTCTGTCACATGACACATGATGGCAAAAAGTAAGCTCATAATTTTAAAGCAGTGAATATCATACGAAAAATGACCAAAAGTTTTACAAACCTCTAATAGGGATGGCACACCAGAACCAGCCGTTGCTGGTGCAACTTGCTGCACAGAACCTGCAAGATTTGCAGCTGACCTGAAGAACATAAATATCTATTATTTTTAGTATTTTAGTTTAATGGCCCAATAGACACAACAATCTGCCATATGGTAAGAAACAACTGTCTTCCTTTCCAACACCAACAAAGCATACTTTTAACTTTTAACACGTTAGTGACACCTATCAAAGAAAATGAGAGACAGAATTCTCGTGAACTCTGAACTCGTAGGAAAGCAGATAAATACACTGACATAAAATAAACAATAAATAGCTTTTCTCACTCAACAAAATAAGCCAGAATATGTTTAAGACCTATTAATTAAACATTGATCTAACAACATTTAGGATCAAGTTTTAAACTCGCTAATTTTGTTAGGTGGCTTCAAAGGCAACTGCAGAGCAAAATTAGTCATTCAACATAGACTGAAATCTGTACTCCGCAAATAATAAATGCAACTAAATAAAAGCATAGACATGAAGGACTCCGCTTTTGGGAATCCAAATCAGCAAAGAATACAGTGACCATTGACTGCACCAAGTTGTAGTTTGTACACCTTCACCAGCACAACTCGAATGTTTTTCACAGGAATTAATAATACCTTTGAACTAAATCACTGCCCTCTTTCCATGCACTTCCTAAAGCAGTCCATGCTCCTGATGTAAAATTCTCCACGGAATTATCAAACACCTTCAAACCCTGCAAACATTATGGAGTTATGCTTAAAGCAAAGAAAATAGTAGTGAGAATTTGCAGGCACAATAACAAAATTACAAAGGTATGTTTTGCAGCTATTTCAATTGTTCAACTACATCAAATCATCAGGTCTCTTCATTTTTTTCCGAACAATATGGCCTACAATTTGTCACAATTCTAAGGTAATAGAATAAGTCCTCACAAGGAGAGAGAAAGTGGGAGATGCATAAGAGGATAGATTCAAGGCTTATTTCAAGCAATAATTTCACGGGCAACTAACTTGGTAGAAAATATATAAATCCAAAATTCAAGCAGAAGGGATTGCAAACTGTAGATTTCACATTCACTAATTTGCTTTTGTATGAAATCCACTAAAGATATACCATGCCGACATCAATGGGGAAAAATCAAAGCGTCCCTTTATGCCCTACCTGGCTAAGAATTGAGTCATCACTAGCTTTCTCCAATTTTTCCAGAGCAGATTGTCGTAGTTTGTCATTCTCATCTTCACTTTCCCTTTTAGTTAAAGCTACGTCTTCCCCTTCCGTCTCTTTAGAAGATTCTAAATCTTCAGAAGTGTTTTGCATCTCAGCAATGGTCTTGGATGCTGTCTGAGCAACTGCAGCAGCCTGTGTGGTAAAATGATATTGAAAAGAATACTAAATTCCAAATTGAGTTACAAAAAGAACATCACTACGCACATCTTAGGATCTGTAAGTTTGCATATAAACCCCAAAATACTAACAGTCAGGGAAAAGCAATTAACTCTTATTTCTCCCAGTCAAGGACAAATATACAAGTATAAGGTGCTTATGTTTCGAGCTCATACATAAGTATCAGCCCCAATCCTTCAAAGTGGATCCAACAAGATTCAACTCGCATACCATCGAATGTCTACTAGGTGCTCTCAGTATTTTTTTGGGCCCCCTTCTCCCTCTCGTTTCTTCCAACTCTGTTGCTTTGCTTGAAAAATTTTACCTAATTGTTTGCCATGATGCCTTGTACTGAGAATTTGATGGTAAAAATCGAACTCCAGGAACAATAGAAGTATACACAACATTCAAATTGAGCTAAAATGATTGAGGCAGCTAATTATACCACCCTTGAGTCCAGAAAAACTAAAAATTAAACTCTACTGTATGGCGGATGCAATTGCCAATCATTTCAACATGCATCATGAGAAAATGTGAAGCGACGTTGAAACATAACCTCGATGCGAAGTTATGAAATCAAAATAAAGATACCAAAATGCTGAATTAGCTAGGGTGCAGGCGAAAAGCATTTCAAACGTACATTGCGAGAGATCTCATCGGCAGCGGCGGCAGCGGCCTTTTGAAGATCTGAGATCACGGAAAAAGAAAGACCCCAACGACCCCAACCTCCACCGCCACCAGTTGCGGGTGGAGGCGGGGCCTCTTCGGCTGTCGCCTGTTCTGCAACTTCCTTCTTCTCCTCTTCCATCTCGGATTCCGAGAAAGCTATGATCGTGTCGTCTCAACTCTCAAGTCTCAAGTCTCAACGATATTGTTTCTGGTTTTTTTTTTCCAAAAAGAAATTAAACCAAAAAACTTAGTTTCATTTCACCCGGTTCGTCACTTTGCCCTTGGGGGACCCACAGAAGCTCTTCGTTCGGTTGAAAGTTGAAACCCTTCACGGCGTGAGAGCGAAGGCAACGCTCGGAATACGACATGATTACTGTGGACTTTATTTTATTTGTCTCTTTATTTTCAGGAGCTCAATGGGCTTTTCAATTAAAACAGTTCGATCTCAAAACCAGAGCCCAGGTCCAGAAAAATAAAAATAGAAAGTCATTCAAATTTTCATATTTATAGAATTAAGGTTTTATTAAATTATAAGAATCTTAATTAAAATCATGAAAATTGAAATGATACTCAAACCTTAGTCTGTAATAAGTTTGTTCAACCAATCATAAGTAAAGTTTTTTTGAAGCATGAGTATATACTTGATCTTTTAGTTTTATATAGAATTTCAGTGTTGTTAATTTAATTTTATAGGAGATAGGGTGACTACCCAACATATGGTACTTATCCTTGATGTGGGTTTTAAGAGTATCAGATGAAAGTATCATCAAGTGGTGAACCCCAAGGTCAGGTGGTGGCAGTTAAAGGATGAGAAGCGGGAGTTTTTCAGAAGGATCTTTCGAGAGGAAAGAATGTGGGAGTTGCAGGGAAATGCTAACATTATATCGGAGGAGATGGCTACGAGGGTTCATATGGTCGCTAAAGCAATTTTGGGAGAAACCAAAGGTTGTGGTTGGAGAGATAAGGAGACTTGGTGGCTAGATAAGAATATATAAGAGAAAGTTAGTGAGTGAAGCCATACCTTTGTGCGATAATGTAGAAAATTGAGAAAAGTTATGCTTGGCTAAAAAAAAAAGATGAGGAGAGCAATGAGTGAAGCATGTTCTAAAGCATATGAGGAGTTATATAAGACAGGAAAAGAAGTATTTACAAGACTGCAAAACAAGAGAAGAGGAAAAAGAGAGATTTGGACCAAGTGAGATGTATGAAGGACGAAGAAGGTAAAATTCTAATTGCTAGTGGCGATATTAAGAATAAATGGGAGGCTTACTCTTACAAGTTGCTTAACGAGGAAAGCGAATGTGCAACTCGGAACTTGGAGGATTTGCTAATTAGTGAAGAGGATCGAAATTTGTTTTTTACCACACGATTTGCATCGGAAAGGTTAAAGCAACTTTTAAGAAAACAGATAATGGTAAAGCTATTGGACCTAATATTATTCCTATTGAAATTTGAAAATGTTTAGGTGAAGAAGGTGAACTGTGGCTAATTAAGTTTTTTAATGAAATTTCACGCTCTAAAAATATGCTGGATGAATGGAAGAAAAGCATTTGAGTTTCTATTTACAAAAATAAAGGAGATATGATATTTAAAACTGTGTAAGTTACAACGAGATAAAACTTATGAGCCATACTATAAAGTTGTGGGAAAAAGTGATTGAATACATGTTGAGGCTAGAGACTTATATTTTTGAGAACCAATTTGAATTTATGCTGAGAAGATTCACAATAGAAGTGATTTATTTACTAAAAGGATTAATGGAAATATATGAAAGCAAAAGAAGGGATTTACATATAGTTTTTATTAAATTGAAAAAGCATATAATTATGTGCTAAGAGAAGTACTTTGAAAAAGAAATGTGTATGAGATGCTTATATCAAAGCTATACAAGATATGCATGAGGGGTAACTACTAATGTAAGAATACCTAAAGGTGAGACAAAAGACTTTCCCATTAAAATTGGCTTAATTAGAGATCCTCTTTGAGTCCTTACTTGTTTGATATTGTTTCAGGCATTCTAATCGAGCTTATTCAAGAAAAAATCATTAAGTGCATGTTTTTCGTAGATGACATTGTTCTCATAGTTGAATCAAGAGAAGATATTAACTCTAGATTAGAGTTATGGAGAAGAACCTTGGAATCGAAAGATTTTAGCTTAAGTAGGAGCCAAACAGGATATATGCATTGCAATTTTGAGAGGAGGCAAGACAATAGTGATTTGAATGTAAAAATGAGAGATCAAATCATTTCTTAAGTGTTAATGTTCAAATATCTAGGATTCATTTTATATGAGGATAGTGAAATTGATAGAGACGTTTTTCATAGAATATAAGCTGGGTGATTAAAGTGGAAAAAGCCTATTAGAGTTATTTACTATAAGGCACCGGAGAAGGTTAAATATTGGTTTCATTTCATCCGGTTCGTCGCTTTGGCCCTGGGGCACCAAGGAAGCTCCTCGTTCGGTTGAAAGTTGAAACCCTTCACGCGTAGGAGCGAAGGCAACCCTCTGAAAACGACGGGATTACTGTGGGCTTTATTTTACTTGTCTCTTTATTTTGTGGAGCTCAATGGGCTTTTCAATTGAAACAGTTCGATCTCAAAACCAAAGCCCAGATCCAAAAAACAAAAATAGAGAGTTAGTCAAATTTTCATCTCTACAGATTTATTTAATTTTTATGTTTAATCGTTATCATGAGCCAAAGCATCAATGAAAATTTAGCAGCATGGACAGAACTAACGTTTTAATTAAATTATAGGAATTTTAATTAAAATAATGAAAACTGAAATAACGCTCTAACCTTAGTCTACAGTAAGTTTGTTCAACCCACGATATTTAATCATAAGTACACACTTGGTTTTTTAATTTTATATAAAATTTTAATTTTGTTCTTTAATTTTATACAGTACCTTTACAGTTACATATAATTTTAGCATAACCTCAAATGATGATTTTTGTGCAAATTATTGATGCTTTAAGAAATTAAACTAAAATATGTCAATATTTGAAAATACTTCGACAGCATCCAACATCAAAAGGATGCTTCTAGGGCATGAAATTGAAAATACGGATGCGTATGAGAAGACGAAGCTCAATAAGATGTAAAGATATCAGAGTTTGTCATTCAAGGACTGGAGCTGCAATTCCAAGTATAACATCTTTTTTCACTCACATGACTCAATGAAATTCACCAATTATACATACCATACCCAATTGCTAATCTGATGAAAAACTCTTTCATATATAAACACAATCTACAATTCTATAGCACACATTCAGACCAAATCTCCCTCTCCCTCCCATTCCTTTAAGGAGATGCAATAATCAGAGAACCATCAATCTGTTTGGTGATCTGGGGCTTGGGAATACCAAGCAGGGAACCTGCCCTTGCTTCTGAGAAGTCTTGTGAATGGAGAATCAGGCAGTCTACCATCCTCCTCTTCCATCATCTCCTCTTCAGATTTTGGCAGCCCATCTGGTATTGGGCACTGCCTCTGCCTTTCTTCTGATTCCACCAATTTTGGAACAGACAAGCCATTCTTCTTCAGTTTGTGCATGTACGCAATTCCATGTAAGCATCCTATCAAGGACTTCACACCGCCCGTCTGAAGAATCAACCTCTCTACGTCTGCTTTCGGGATCTCTTTCTGTCAAAAAGATTGTAACAACGTCAAGAAAGAACTTGATCAGGTTATAGATATAACGCAACGTAGGGAATCAGATATTAGAATCAGTATCCTTAATCATTCTTCTTCATTACTTCCTCAGAAACCAGACAAGCTTTTGTACTTTCCAGACGAAAAGCAATGAAAAAACAGCAAAATAAAAAAAAAAAGGTTACTTGTTTTCAATCCTTACGATTGCCAAAATTCACAGAAAAAGTAAAATTTAAGCCTCTAAATGCTACTTTTGTCATCTTTACCTGTCCGTTTAAACTTTAAGGGGAAAGGCTGGGTTTGTAAAAGATTGTGGTTCGTGTTTGTTAAAGTACCGGTATTATTTCCTTACTTATCTCTAATGATTAAAAAAAAACACATGTTCATCAGAAAAACACAAGACACCATAATCTTCCCAAAAGAAGGAAAGAACTTACTTCAAGATCCTTCAGCTCAAAGTAAGCCTGCCAGCAACCATAGGATTCTTCACCTTCAAGCGTCGAACAATAATCTGCAAATATTACAAGGCAAATCAGAAAGAATAATAATAGAAACAGCAACGATAAATTCCTAATTTAAGCACATCCGAGAATCATCATGAAAGAAAGTGCCATCAGATTTCAATCTTTCGCGAGATAATTTCGAGGATGACCGGACACCTAAAGCTCTGATTTTCCTGGCTCAAAATCAGAAGATGAAACAATAAGAAATTTTAAAACAGATACCTGCAAGCTCTATTTCAGATTTTTGAATCAACGGAGGCTCCTTGACGGCCCTTTCAAACTTGGATCGGCTGAAGGGTTCAAGCTTGGGGATATAAGCCTGGTTCCTGGACGAACAAGAGATAGTGGAGGTGGCAAATCTTGTAGAAGAAGAAGAAGGCTTCGGATCAAGAAGCAGGGGAGAAGAACAAGACCGTAGCAAAGCCGACTTAATCATGGTGTCAAACAACAAACAACCCAGTTTTAGAAACTCTGGAGCAGAATAAGGATAAGGAATGAAGGCAGCGATGCCATTAAATACCGTGCATTTCAGTGGTTTCGTTTCCGGGTTGGATAAGGATGATGAGATTAAACTATTGAGGGAAGATATTATTAGATATATAAAATAGCAGTGGAGAGAGAAAACGGCAGGAGCATATGATCCGTTGGATTGGGTGTAGTGGCGAGAATACTCAGATAGTAAGCGTGGATTATTAGAATATTGGGGAAACGCTTTAGGTGCAAGTGGGCCCATGAAGTCAATCGCTCTGATCCGACGTGGAAAGGACCACGTGGCAGAATCATGTACGAGTGGGCCCGTAAATGGAACTTTTTGTCGAGAATTGAAAAAAGGGAGCGCTGGCCGCCGAGTGGGGTGTGAGAGACGGTGTGCGGGAAAACCACAGCGTGTGACTAAAAGGGGGATCTTATCCGGTGGGTCTTTGGGATTTTTTTAACAAGTGGGTTCAGATATTTTTATCATTGGCCCTTGGATTTTTGTGTTATTACAAATTTCCACGGATTTTAGCATTGGCTCTTGTCCAAATTCCAAAGTGCGTATTTGTTATTGTGACTTATTTCTTCTGACATTGCATTCAAATTTCTGCCATTTTATTATTGATTCCAATCTTCTTTTCACTTATTCATATTCAGAATTCAAATTCTCAAATTGGTTATATCTCTTTTTTAATCTAAATGTTAAACGATTAAATTAAACTAAATCCATGTTTATAAAATATTAAAAATGGTATGATTAACTTGGAAGTGAATGGTTCCCTTCTCACTTCTAATTGATGAAAGAAGAGGTTGTGGTGGTGTCATTAACAATGACTCCCATAGTTAAATAAGCGGCTTTTGTTGTGAATTCTCCTATCACTGCTAAAATGATTGGAATTATTCATGGTCTCATAATGTGTTGGAATGGAAGTTTTTGAAAAATTCATCTCGTAACTTGATTGTATTATGTAGACGCCATTATTTTGCTAGCTAGGAGTTGTACTAGAGAACATCCCTCTAGGGACATTGTTAATAATGTCCATGATGTTAAGCTTTTATGGATTGATATGTGATGGTTCAACATGTGCACAGCACAGGAGGGACCACCAAATTGCCAACTTCCTTACCAAGTTATCTCATACTTCTTTTAATAGCAATTTTTGTATTTGATCAATCTAAACCACTGTGCCTAGAGGTGGAAGGTTATGAGAAAACCAGATGCAATTTTCTAAATTTAGAGTCATGTTATCCAGTTTTATATTAAAAAAGAAAAATGAAAAGTACATGTAATAAAAGCAAAATGAAATAATATTGGTTAGAGTATTTTAGCCTCGCTTGTTTCCTTATTTTCCCTTATAACTCTAATCCCTTTTGTCTGTAACTGAGTATAATCACCTCAGTTTTCATTTTTATGTTAGGGTGTGTTTGGCTCAATAGATGAGATAGAAGGGAAGGGATTTTAATGAAGGGAATAGAAATGAAAAGAAAGGGAGGGATTTTAATATTATCTTGTTTGGATTGATACAAGAAGAGGGGAGGGGAGGAATTTTAATGTTATCTTATTTGGTTTAGGAAGAGAGGGGAGGCAAAATATTTTTGCATGAACAACTTTGCTTTTATATTATTTAAGTTGATTTTTACAAATTTTATAGAGTAATTAATAAAATATAATTATAAATAACATTTAATATATAAGATCAACTTTTTATAATTAGCAAAATTAAATAAATTAATGATAATATATAATTAATAGCTACTGTATATCCAATAACTATAACTGTATTTATATCCAAAATCTAGTCTAATGAAGTAAATATGTTTAATTTGAGTATGTTTTTTTCAACTTTTTTTTTTTGTGTTGTTGGTATGAGTAGTCAAATAACCTTTGCAAAGATAACATAAATGATTTATTTGTATATTTTTATTTTGAATGTTTGATTTGCATTTGGAAATTAAAATATATTTGATAGCAACTTTTTATATATATATATTTGATAGCATATAAATAAGGGAAGAGATGCATGATTGAATCCATAAATATACCAAATCACATACAATTTGACGGTGAAGGGTAACATGGGATTATTACAAAATAATATAGGCATATTAATTAACACAAGCCAAAATATTACTTTTTCCTCCCAAATTTCTCTAATTTTGGAGAAGAGGCTTATGAGAGGCCTTCCTAGAATTTTTATCTTACCAAATAAAAAAAAAGATTAAAATCTCTCCTCCTCCCTTCCCTCCTCTCCAAATTCTTCATACCAAATGCATTGTTAGTGTATTATCATCTTCGTTTCAAGCTCTTAGCAAAATATCATACTCCTCCTATCTTTAATATAAAATTTAATTGTTGAGTTGATTTTGGTCCTAAATAAAAGGCATATTTGTCATATTTATCAATTTTTTTAAATTACTTTTATAAATATCTCTCAACCATAATCAAATAGAAAAAGAAGAGAGGATATTAAGGAAGATGATTATGGTGTTTTAGGAAAAAAATGTCATATTTCTTATAATTAACTAACTTACATAATTTTTTTAATTTAATTAAGTTAGTTAAATAGGTCTTATATTAAAGATAGGAGAAGTATTACATGTGAAAATCACAAATTTATTTCACCGGTAAAGAAAAAGTTTCAAAATTCTCAATGGAGTTCAAGGTCAGAAAGAAACTCTAAATGGAGCTAAAAGCCATATTTGTAATTAGACGATCAAAAGAATGTACAATTCGGAATATTGGAAGTCCTGGGTCTCACACAAACGGTGAATTAAAAAGGACCTCTCAACATATGAAAACAGAGCTTATGGCTATTGTTTCATCAAGAGTCAAGATAAATGATACGGTTTTCGTTTGTGGCATAAAAGTTGCTTTATTAATTCGAATAAATTAAAAAGATTAAATAAATTACTCATCTCTCTACAATATTAATATTAATATAATATTGGATTAAATATCAATTTATGAATTAAATAAATTGATTTGAGGAAAAAAATAAATATAAAAAATAAAATAAATTAAGATGTTATATTTAATATCATAATTAACTCCCTAGCTTTTCTGAACAAGTATTCTACTCACTTGATTGACTACAGTTTGGAGGTAGTCGGTGGATGAGTTTTCAGGGAAAAAATATCGAATATTAGAGTTTTTATATTTTTCCTGTGGCCAATGAAAATATTTAAACTTGTAAAAAAGGTCGTTGAACTAGAAACATTTTTAACGGAACATGTTTACTAAATTAAACGGTCCATGTGGCGGCAACTGAAATGAGTAGCGCGAACCGTAAACGAACAAAGCTTGATCATAAGAACGTTAATTGTAGTACATTGTCAGTGTTGCGAAAATCTGGGCGAAACAAATTCCAGGACCTTTCTTTTGAGGGGAAGTTACATTTTTCTATAAGATTCCTCCGGGATCCTGTTGCATTTGCCGTTTTACGGTTCAAATCTTCCTGGCAATTTCGACCTGCTGCCTGAAAATCCGAAATCGCCTTTGCCGGTGAATCGTAATGACTATTATTTTCGGGTTTCAAACAATGGATGTAACGGGGGCTATCAATGGCCTAATTGAAGAGGCAAAGGTGCGAATTGTCTGGTGGGGCCTTTGCATATTCGCCGTTTCGTTTTTCTTAACTCGTAAGTGATATACGCTACTTCGTGTAATTATATCCAGTTCATCTTTTGTCTTTCACAATGACTTGTGATTAGATGTCCATTAGTCATGGCTCATATCATCAACCCGAGTCTTATACTACCTCTGGTCCTTAGCACCTTGTTTGATTTTTATTTTGTTCTAAATATAAGACCCAAATATATTTTTTCCTCTAATATTTATGTATTTTTTCTAAGATGGTCCTTCTAATAATGGTAGTTCTAGCCAATACATTTGATTAGCAAGGATATTTTAAGAAAGACAACACCTATTTATGACAAATAATTAACTTAACTTCTTTTTTTAATCTCTTTAAATTAGTTAACTAGTTCTTATAATTAGGACCGGAGGTAGTAGTTACGTAATTGAAAAGTTATACCTGCGTTATGCATGCACTAAGTAATGATTGTACTCTAAGAGGAGAGCTCATTGCGATCATAGTTATGAGTTCGGATGCGTGTGTGCACATTCATTAAGAAGATATAAGAAGAAAGGTTGAGTTAATATTTCGGTCCGTTAGGTTTATTGATATCTGAAGTTGGCCATGTGACATTTTACCCTTTAACTTCTAACGTAGTAATTTTCATCATCTTTGTCCGTATGTTCGAATCGATTGATTTCGTTGACAGACATGTTTTACAAAACTGATTTAGCACCCAATGCGTCTAACCTGATGGACAGAGCTGACTTGTTTGGAACACATACAACTCTAGTTACAAGCTAAGCGGTATATTTGACTCAAAGAAAGGAACAAAGTAGGAATAATCAATTAATTTAAGTGACCAATCTATTCAATTGACTAAAGAGGAATATGGTTTACTTGTTGTAAAGAAATGAAGATAAAGAGTATGAAGTGTTATTAATGATCAACAAGATATGACAATCCTCTTAGAGTTAACCAAATCCCTTATTTGAGAAATTAACCAACAACCCAAAACTATTAGAATTAAGAAGAGAGCCCCAAGTTATCCTCCCTCTTATTAGTGAGGATAGTACATCCTACATGCTCTGTAACATCACATTAGACCTTTTTATATTAAGCCTATTTCAGTTAGCTAATGACACTATTATCCTTTCTAACACTTGTCATTACGAATCATTTTTATTTCATTGATATTCTTTATTGATTATCACAGATACGAGTGAATCAATGTGGATGAATTTGCCAGTGTCAGTTCTCTTGTTTTCTGCACTGCACATCCTTTTTGACAACGTGGAGTTCCGTTGGAAGGTTCAGCGACCTAGATCACTGACCTATTTATCTCATTTGGAGAAGAAACAGTTATCTCTGAATGATGCACGCCTCTCTACTAAACTTCCACCGCCAAAGTGGAAGAGTGAAATTGGTTCTCCTGTTGTGGAGGCTGCATTAGGTGATTTTGTTGATAAGATAATACAGGATTTCATCATAGATTTGGTGTGCACAGATATTACTCCAGATAAAGAGTTTCCTGATCAAATACATGCATTAATTATGGATGCTCTTGGTGACATATCAAGAAGGGTTAAAGAAATAAATCTCGTCGACTTGCTAACAAGGTGTCAATTTTCCCTCCAATTTCTGTCAAAAACAAAGGGGTTTGGTGAGCAATTAGATGAGGCTTTTAGGCATAGTTATTTGGTAACAAGTTTCTGTGAAGAGTTTCTCATTCTCTTACATTTCAATTATATTTCAGGGACATAGTTTATTTGGTCTGTGATCACATAGACCTCTTCAGAAAAAATCAAGCTGCTATAGGTGTCGATATTATGTTAACATTATCTTCTGAAGAGAGGGACGAAAGATTGAAATTCCATCTTTTAAATTCTAAAGAGCTTCATCCTGCACTTATATCTTCCGAGAGTGAGTACAAGGTGTGAGCGGAGTGTTCTACTTTAATTTACAATCCATGCTTTGCTGGTGAGAATCATGTCTCATATGTGCAATAATTTTCCCTCGTGCAGGTTCTTCGGCGGCTAATGAGTGGTGTGTTAGCATTGGTACTGAGACGACAAGAAGCTCACTGTCCTGTGATACGATCTATAGCTCAGGAGATTTTAACTTGCTTGGTAATGCAACCGATATTAAAGTTGGCATGTCCTGGGTATGTTCTTAAATACGTTGTTCAATATTTCGTTCCTTAAAGCATATCTTTTTCAGAGGAGGATTTTAACAGTTTCGGGTTTGCGGCGCATTTTGTGCCTGTTCTTTTGCCAGGGTATGGGGGGAGGAATTTTTTTTTTTTGGGGGGGGGGGGTTTAGATTGGTCTCGGCTGAAAAGGTCTCGAAAACGGTGCTCTTTGCTAGAAGATGCTTCTTAACATTCATATTTTAACATTTAAATGTGCAATTCAACATGCAAAGTATTAAAAGGGTGACTAGGAACATCTATAATGAAGATTGCATGTTGAATTATCGATTTTCTATAAGACTTGAAGAAGAAGATTTGACTATATTTTTTATATTTCTTAAGAACTCATTGCCATTTCCGTTCATAAAAAATATGATCATCTTCGTGATCAGGTATATCAATGAGCTGATTGAAGAACTTCTAAAAATCATTAAAGATATGGATATAGCAGGGCTGGGCGGTGATCAGTATACAACTTCAGCAACTCATCAGTGTGGCAATTCAATTGCTGATGTATTTGGACATAATAATCATACGAACTCGAACAAGCATTCGTGTGTAAATCAAGGTACCGATGAAACATTTCAATGCAACACCTTCCAGCAAGAGCCTTCGCAGGTCAGGCATGCCGACTGGGCACGAGTGTTGGAGGCTGCTACTCAAAGAAGGACTGAGGTTCTTATGCCTGAGAATCTCGAGAACATGTGGACTAAAGGGAGGGATTATAAAAAGAAAGAGACTACAATTCTCAAAGCAAGTTTTCAGGATTCTCCTAAAAATGGTTCTGCTACAGACAGTTCACTGCCTGATGGACATTTAGCAAAGGAAGCATCAGCGAGTAAACGTGGAGAGTATGCAGTTCCAGAAGGGAAGTCATTCCTCCAGCGAATGGAGAGCTTGGATTCAGATCCCTTACTAAATGTTGGGAGCACGAATGAGGCGGAGACTTCTCAAGATCCCGGCAAAGAATCATCTTTGGAAGGAGAGCATTGGGTAGATGAAGTAAATGATACTGAGGTCTTTGCGTCTAATGAAAGTAAAAGCCAACCCAAGAGACCAGACAGTGCTTCTCTCCTGGGAATCCTAAGTGGTAAAGAAGGAGGACCAATTATTTCTGAGTTTCAAGGTCATGATTTTGAGAGACAGAATGAAGGATTTCGAGGGAAGAGTGCTTCTGACATAGTTATTAGGAAAGAGGGTCAACTGGTTCCCAAGCTCCGTTGCCGGGTACGGATATTGGATGTTACGGTTATAGGATGTACTAATCTTAAAATAAATAGAATTGTAATACCGGAATCCATGTAATCTTAAAAAAAAAAAAAAATCAAATTAGACTATTAGTTTTGATGTATCTGTGTAAGTTATGTTGTTTTTCTTGTCTACTTGTACACCGCAGGTAATGGGAGCATACTTTGAGAAACTCGATGCTAAAACTTTTGCTGTCTATTCAATTGCGGTGACGGATGCGGAGAACAATACTTGGTTTGTAAAGAGAAGGTTCGTTTCATTCATAAGATTTGATAATAAAATTGGGTTTGTAGAAAGAGGAACTTTCTATGTTTTGAAAAGAAAATAGAAATGCTGAAATCCCTGATTTTGCTTGAGTTCAGTCTCTAATAATTGTACATCGACTTCTCTTTACTTTTTTTTTCGGTGATATCTAGATACAGGAATTTTGACACACTGCATCGGAATCTTAAAGATATTCCAAAATACAGATTACATTTGCCTCCCAAGAGGATATTTTCCTCAAGCACAGAGGATTCCTTTGTCCATGAGCGTTGCATTCTGCTTGATAAATATCTTCAGGTTTTTTCAGTCCTTATGTCCAACCTCAAAGAACTAGACCGTAAGATCCATGCATTGCGTTGAATTTAACATGAATCGCACTATTTATAACTATAGATCAACTTCTTATAAATTATAAATATCGGATATCGATAGATGATTATTTCATTTGACACTTTTCTATAGCGATGTGTTTGCTTCAATTATACTTTTTTGCTTCAGGAGCTACTATCAATACCTGATGTCGCTGAACATCATGAAATCTGGGACTTCCTGAGTGTTTCTTCAAAGGTTTGTATCTTCCTGGTATTCTTATAACTGACAGATGATGGCATTCAAAATGTCTGTTGGTACTTTTTCAATAAGAAAATTATTGATCTGATGATACTATCTTTGTCGACCTAATTTTTTCTTGAAGAATTACTCTTTGGGGAAATCTTCAACGATGAGGACGCTGGCAGGTATGTGGTTTTAAAATTTAGGTTTTATATGTTACTTGCAGTATAGGCTGCTAGGTGTAACTACTTTTGTCACCATCTATTGGTTTGCTGTGTGGGTTTGTGAAGTCTTTTTTAGCAGTTTTGCTCTCAATATTATTGAAATCCTTATGCGGTGATCTTTCTACCATTAAAAGTTGGGGAAAATGAATTATCTTTAAATTGATGTGGGAGAATAAGCTTTCACCACATTCTTGTTTTCCTTTCTGCCATTGTTTGTGGGCTGTGGGAATTTTTATCTTCGAGCAAAACGGTATTTTTCAACCAACAGCCCCCCCCCCCAACCCAAAGAACAAAAAGGTAGCTACATAAACAGGAAGAAGTAGGCCAGAGAAAGTTCGGGCAATCATCCTGAACCAGAAAAGGAAACAAACAGGAACATAGATATAAAGACAAGGCCCGTGAAACAGGAAGCAGAAAAGTGAATAACAGCGTTTGACTTGATGCCTACGAAAGATGACGCATAACCAGCAAATATCCTTTGGGGTTCATTGGATTTTAAACCATTTGACAGAAGCAGTATATAGATACCCGTAATTGACACAATGACATGTTCATTCAGTTTCGACAACTACTCATAATTGCCATGATAGTCTTGTAATGAATAATCTCTACATGCCTCTCCGCATTTTGTAGTTTTGCACTAGTCATTTCCTTGGTGTACCATGGTACGAAAAAATTGTTTTGATGAATTTAGACCCAATGTGCAGAGTTTTTAAAAGCAAAGATCCTTGTTTTTTTTTTCCCATAAATTCTATTTACTTATTCCAACTATAAAATTTTAATTTTCGCCTATTGACAGTTAATGTAGATGGTGCGGTGGATGATATTGTCCGCCAGTTTAAAGGTGTTTCGGATGGATTAACGAGAAACTTTGTTGTTCCATTGTCGTCTCCATGTCGTGGAGGCTCTTCCACATCAACAGACAACAATTTTTGGAATGCTGATGAAGTAGATAATATTAAACTAAGGCAGAACGCTGGGGAAACTGTGTTAAGCCCTGATTATGAAGATTTTCAAAATAGTGGAAAGTTTGACCGTGAGAACATTGACGGAGAACTGGAGCACACTGGTGGGTGGCATTCTAACATCAAATTGAACACGAACGGTTCCCCTCCACATCATGCTGAAGAATCTGGTAACCGGGATCTAGATGGAAAGTATGATTTGGAGTCTGAAGCTAGAGTTGGCAAGGAAACCGCAGCTACAAATTTCACCCTCATTCCTGACGGTTTGGGGGAAGTGCCACCTGAGGTCTACTGAGTTTGCCTCCTTTTCTGTTTCACAGTCTACAAGCATGTTTCTCTGGTATTTGATAATTGATACATCAAAATTATTTGATTGCTGGTTATTTTCAGTTGGATTAGACTGCTGAGTGCTGACTAATCTACCTGGTGAAAATAGGAATAGCATCAATGACTAAAAAGGTGTTTGGATGAAACCAAATCATGGTTTGGAAAATAACTTCTGGAGAAAATAGATTCTATGAAAAATAAATTTTGTGAAAAAGTAATTTGAGAAGTGAGAGTATTTGGATAGTTGTTACTAGAAGCACTTTTTACATGTGCAAATTACTAAAAAAATTATAAATTAATATGATAATTATATAAGGGATATATTTTATAATATATTTTGATTTGAAAAAATAAAATTGTTAATAAAATAATTTTTACTAACATAATTAATAATGTAAAAGATAATATAATTAATAAATAATTAATATGTATATATATGTATATTTATAAAACATAATATTAAAGGAAGAGCAAATGTGTAGGACTGACTGGGGAATGAATCAATTATTTCAGTCAGGAAAGGGAGTTCTTTTGTCATCTGTGTTGGGCCCACAACAAGGTTTCAATAATTTGAGTCAAGAAACTACTCTAGACCGCTTCTGGTGAAACCATGGTTTGGGGGTTCAAAACTATGGTTTGCCCCCAAACCATGGTTTCACATTTTCTATCCCTATTTGGCTGATATTTTCTTCAAACCATGGTTTGGAGTGCTAGTCAAACAGGAACTATACAGAAATAATAAAATATGTTGGCCCCTTGTGTTCCCAATGTGCGGCCCTTTTGGCTTCAAAAATAAAGATAAGACATTGTACCTCGCTAACTGTATTGATTCTGTTTGCTGGCTAAAAGCTTGTCATACTTTCTTGTTTGTGCCTTCGTTTATGTTGTTAGGATGTATCAGGCACCCTAACTCCCATAAGACCTGTTCAGGTGCTCTGTTGCCAAACCTTATGGAAATATTTGTTTCTAATGATTTCTATGTTGTAAATTGAGAAGTAAAATCCGAAAATTGCACATTATGGTTTTCTAAAACCTAGATTGGGGGGCGCAGAATTTGTGGCAATGTACACTATTTATACCTTATGAATAGTTCTGTTTCTTACATACTTCAGATTATATATAGCCACATAAATATATATGTTGTTTTGGAAACATGTTTGAAAGGACGAATTAGGTCCCCCCCTCTCTTGAGGGAAAAAAGTGTAATTTGTGAACCAAAACAAATTAGGATGAAACTTTATTTGACTTTTCAATCAGGTAATCTGCAAGATTTTGATTTGATGGGAACTTTGTATTAGACGACGTTTTATAAATATTTCTAATTTTATTTTTTTCTGCAGTGGAGTCCACCTAATGTGACTGTCCCTATTTTGAATTTGGTTGACAAGGTATTTCAGCTTAAGAAAAGAGGCTGGCTAAGGTATATAATTCTATCCAGTCTTGGGTCATTTTCAACAATTTCATGTTAATGCCATTTTATGCATGTCAACTACCATCAGCGAGTTCTAATGTTTATATTTGCTACCAGTTCGCACTTTGAGTTCTTCTGTTCAATTCGGGGCAAACGGATATGAGAAAACGCAATATTAGGTTTCAGGATGTTGTTCACCATTTTTATTTCAAGGGCTAATTCTGCTTACCCGAGTCCATCTCTGTGGATGCAGAAGACAGGTCTTTTGGATATCAAAACAGATATTACAATTAGCAATGGAAGATGCTGTTGATGATTTTCTTCTCAGACAGATTCATTGGCTTCGGAGAGAGGATACTGTTGCCCAAGGAATTCGGTGGATTCAAGATGTAAGGATTGAGCAAACTATCAAACACAATCTTTTACTCTGATCTTGTTTCTCAACTAAGAATTGAAGCATTTCTATGCGAAAGGCATTTCCATGGCTGATCTAATTCGATCAGGAACTATTCGTCCGTTTGCTGTGTGCATTAGATCGTTGGACGGGTGGAGCTTGCTTATAACATAGTTGTATTAGTTATGTCTTACTCGATACCTTGACGGGACTAAGTGGCGTCCATCCTAACTTGAAAGAAATCCCAATTAAAGAAAAGATCACACAAAAAAAAAAGTGCCACTGAGCATTAGATGATTGATCTTTCAGAAAATTTTCAGGCATACTCTTTTTATTGAAGAGCATCATTCTGTTGCAAAAACGTTGTATCTCAAAGCCACCAAAAAAAAAAAGCTGATGCAAAATTTTTTTATGACTTGTGCACTTATGCTTTCAGATCTTGTGGCCCGGTGGTACATTTTTCTTAAGCTTACAGACTCAGAAGGAAAAAGGTGGCTGTGGAACCGATCAAAAACCTTTTCAAGCAATAGGGGACTTTATTGGAAGCAACATCTCGAAACCCGGGCCAACATCTTTCGAGCAACAGCTTGAGGCTGTTCGCAGAGCGAGTGATATAAAAAAACTTCTCATCGGTTAGTCTCATTTGAGTATCCTATTTTCGTCCTGCTTCCTATATGTCTAATGTTTCATAGATCTGTCTTTACTTGGAGCGAAATGCAGAAGGAAATCAAGGTTTAGTTGTTTCATGACTTGAATAGAGGTGTTCTGTTCAAGCATGTTGTTTGTTTCTCGACTCATGGGGTGTTGACTGGAGGCTGTCTGGTCAACATAGTGTTTAGGCTTTTTTTTTTTTGTTCCTCATATGGTCTTTTAAAGGCTTGTTGCTGTTGAATCAATGCTTAATAGCAGCATTATCCTCAGAATATGCATATCCAGATTTTGACATATATGACCTTGCCATCATACTGATCAGATGGAGCTCCAACAGCCTTAGTCAGCTTAATCGGGCAAAAGCAATACAGGCGTTGTGCTAGAGACATATATTATTTCAGCCAGGTTAAAGCTCCTTCCCACTTTATCCCACCCACTTAAAGCAGATTTCTCTCTCTCTCTTGTTTACGCAAAAAAAACTTCTGATGAAACTAACACTTGTATTATCTCTGCACATTAGTCAACTATATGTGTGAAGCAACTTTCCTTTGCGATCCTCGAACTTGTGCTTATATCCGTCTTCCCTGAGATGAAGAACCTGATCATGAATGTTCATGCACATATGCGGGTACATCAACCTGTATAGAGTTCCTTTTTGGTATTTGATTGACATTCAGGTGAAGTAATAAATCTTCCTCCCGAAGTTTGGCATTTATGTACGAGAATCAGCCTATTTTAGCATATCTAAAACAGTTCATACTACTCAGTGTAAGACTAAACATCTTATAATGCATTGGTCTTTGTCAGTATCACAGTCTGGGGCATTTTCCCCTTTTAGGCTACAAAGGGAAGTAGCTTTTATGTAACGTACACGAATTTGATACAGAGCTTGTGCAGAAACAATTGTTTGGTAGTATTTTCTGCTTCTTGGGCAGAAACCATTGGCTTGTAGATTTTCTACCCCCGCTTTCTCCGGAGCTACCTGTTCCATGGGGTTTCGTTTTGTTGTTGAGTGCTCTGGTCCTATTTATAAGTTTTAAGTTCAGAAAGAGATGTGATTCATTTTATAAATTTTAATTTGGGGTTGTTCTTACCATTTAATGTATTTCTTTCTGATTTTGTTCTTAATTATTGATTTTTTCTCTTTTGTCATACTATTACTCTTGTTTGTCACATTTTCCTACAAAATCATTTATTATGATGACATATTTGAAAATAAAAAGATGTTTTAATCTACTTATTGCTTTTAATTAATTTTAACTAATTGTTCATTACCTGTGAATTGATTATTTGAACCTTATAATAATAATAATGACCTGGAAGGCGTACTTTTTTACTGGTCATTGATAGTTGTTTATTTGGCTCCTTGAAATTCAAATGTCATAAATGATTTTTTATAAATTAGCAGTCATATTTTTATTGAAGAATATACAATATATTTTTCATGAAATAACTAATATATAAATCAGTGGCTAAAGAACATATAACTCAAAATTCACAGATTACATATAATACTCATCTCAGTTCTTAAAATAGGATCTAATTAAGAAGTAGATATTGGCCCTATATGTAAGATTTATTTTACATGTTTATCAAATTAATTCTACTGATATTCCTCAATAATAATTAAGTAGAAGAGGGAGGAGAAAATTAAAGAAGATGCTTAAGATATTTTAAAAAAACATATCATATTAATAAATTTAATTAATATCTTTAATTTACTCAAATTAATTAATTAGGTTTTATTTTAAGAGCCGGGGGAGTTTTTTTTTTTGGGCTTTATGTTGTTTATAAAACAATTTCAATTTTTATGCAATGTCCGTGCAAGTATGTGGAATATGGAATTAAATTAACATATATGGAATTCAAGGATATATGGCGCGAAAAAAACCAGCTTAATATTTTTTGTTACGTTTATAATAGTTACCTTATTATTATTTTTTTTGCCACGTACTTGTCTTCATCTAATGATTTAAACAACAGTATTCACCTCTGGTCAAAAAAATAAATATTTTTTCACATATTTGTTTTGTATAATACAAAGTTATTTAAGATAAGCTAAACCAAATAAGTACTGTTGGGAAAAAAAGTACTAAATCTTTGACAATTTTTTTTGGAACATGCATCATGAAAAATAATATTATTATTATTACCGAAAAAACAGTAACATTAAAATTTATTTTTGAACAATTGAATAATATCAATATTCAACAAGTTCAGGACAAAAAACTAAGTTCTGAGATTTTAATATCTATTTTTCAATTTTTAAAATTTGAGTAATATTTCTCGGATAATAAAATTCCTTAGAAATTACTAAAGAACAAATAAGTATGGACGGTTATTCTTTTTTAGCTGTTTACTACATTTGCTTTTAGAACTCTTATTATTATTTTTATTTAGCTACTAACTACTTTAGTATTGTGATTCACTACTTTCATTTTTAAAATTTTGATGACTATTTTTATTTAGTTATTGACTACTCTAGTTTTGTTATTAACTATTTTTGTTTTAAAAATTCAAAAAATATATTAAGTGTTGTTGGAGATTTAAAAATTACTTTTTATTTAATTATTAACTATTTTTAGTAGTCAATGGCTATATAAAAGTAGTTATTAGACTTTAAAAATAAAAATAGTTAATAACTATATAAAATAGTCATTAAGAACAAAGAGAGTATTTTTAAAATATTTTAAAATTCCAAAATCATATAAACAGTATTATTTAAGATTTTAAAATTTACCCACTCTAATTTATTTTTTAATATTTTTGAAAGTATTTTAATGTTTTTTTTTCTTAGTCTTTTAGAACCCAAAAAAGAAATGGGGCTCCCTGCGTGTATTACTCTCATTAGTCAATGGGGCAATTTGACATTCCTCGCTACGATTTCCCAGAAAGAGATTTCGTCATTTCCCGCTCTTTCCCACTCCTCGCCAACGCACCCGCGCCTTTCATCTTCTACCTCTGCATATTCCATTTTCTTTCACATTTCACCTTCCTCTTTCTGACCATGGTTCGCCGGAGAAAGAACGCCGGCGAATCACCTGAAGAGACCGACACTGAAAAGGAGTCACGTAATAGGATGAGAAGTGAAGAAGGCTTTTCGCATTATGAACAGATTAGGGACCAACGGATCAAGGAGAACAAAGAGAGGCTGCAGAAGTTAGGCTTGTTCGACCTATCTCTGAAACTCAAGAAGCCTAAAACTTCGCCGCAGAAGAAATCCCCTCGCCCTAAGAAGACGACGCAAAACGCTTTAACGCCTAGCATGCCCCCGAGGCGATCTTCCAGGTATACTATTACTCCTCTCTTGCACATTTTGTTCTGCTAACAACTTTTTTCTACTATTAGTTTCGATTGAAATAGAAGATAATTTTCATCTGGATATGAGAAAATTGCAGAGAACAGTTTATTCACTTCTGCTTGTCATCTCTATTTCTTGGACATTCCTTCTACTTGTTGTCTCTGGTGCGATTGATTTGTCATCTATCTCAGATAGGATGTAACCATTTCTCTGCTTACTACGTGCTATAGTGGTACTGCCATACTACGAGATATAACGTTTGAAGGCGTGTTTTGAATTTTCTTATTTTTGATAGGTTTTCTAGTACTTACCAGACATTCATAATGCATATGTGGTTAGTGTTCCTGCCATGGTTTAATTTTAATTTTGTTTAAACTTCGATAGATGTGGTAGTCTGATTTCCATGTTTTATGGAGTTTCAGAATACAGAGCTTAGGACCAATAAAGTATTACGAAGGACGCGAGAAGCGTGACTCCTCCAAAAATTTAGAGATTTGCATACCGAAAGGTACAAATCCAGAAGTTTACACGAAAAAGCATGAAAAGCTTTTAGGGGATTGTAAAATGGAGTGGGAATTGTATATTGATGGATATGATGATGATGGGAATCGTTTGTATGATCCGATCAAAGGGCAGACGTGCCACCAATGCAGGTAATATTGTTTTATAAGTTTATAATGCTCTCTAAATATGTCTACTAGGCTGCAGGGTTGTTACTTTCTATTTCAACATGACATGCCTAATGTTGAAACCATAACTTAGATTCTTCTTTTACTAGGAGAATATACTAGCATATCTGCATTGTGGCAATGCATCTCTGTTATGTTTGCATTGGTTGATCATTAGACACAATGGTTTTAGGTATGCATTTTGATTAAAGACTCAGATCTACTAGATTTGTAGCTAATGTATAACGTTGGCACATCAACTTTTCCGTGAGCTTGTTGAGTTTTTAGGAAATTTTTTTCCTTCCTTGCAGGCAAAAGACTCTTGGTTTGCATACCTATTGTGGCAAATGCGAGTTACCCCAAGGAGAGATTTGTGGGGATTGCTTGTACATGAGGTAGCATTTTCTAGCTACCTGAGATGAGATTGAGAAAGCAAGATCTTTCTTTCTTTCTTTTTTCATCAGTACTATGTAAATTGTTGGTCGTTTTTGAAAAATTCGATTCCATCTTAAATTCAGGAGAAAAATTATAGCCATTATAATAATTTTTATAATATTGTGCAGATATGGAGAAAATGTTTTAGAAGCAAACGAGAATCGCCAATGGATTTGTCCGGCTTGCCGGGGAATTTGCAATTGTAGTCGTTGCCGTAGAGCAAACGGTTGGATGCCCACTGGTAATCTGTACAGTAAGGTTAGTTTTTTCAACCTCGTTATATTGCAAGATCTGCATGTTTAATACTTTCTGTTCCTGGTAGAGTTCAGGTTCTTTCCTTCCATCTTGTGCTCAGTCTCATTGAAAGAGTTGAATAAAGACATGAATTACACGAACCTCTGGACGTGTCATTCTTGTCTCTGTTTATTATATGAGCCCCAGCCGACATGACTTGCGAGACCTGCTTCTGGAACTGATATATTCCCATCTTGTCCTTTGAATTTTATTTACAAGGTGTCAGAATTAGGATTCAAATCTGTGGCACATTACCTCATCCAAACTTATCGCTCAAAAGATCGATTACAAGCCCCTGCAATAGAGGAGACTGATTCGCAATAAGAGGGGCCCTGGCGTGATCATTGTTGAGGACTCGGGGAAGTGATAAGATGGATGCAATGGAAATTGAGCAGCTCGTTAGTGACCAAGTGTATATTTTCCTTTTTTTTTTTTGCTGAGATTGACCTGAAGCCTGGCCGTTTTGTGAAAACAAGGTTGATCTTTTCCCATGAACAATGGAATATTTCAATTAAGTGCTAGTACAGTTCACTCGTTTTCCTGGGGAACTACTTCTGTTTGTACTGTTTTCCTTTCACTGACATTGGACCTTTTGCTTTCTACATGTGATGATGTGTGATTTAACCCATAAAAATAGTAAAACATGAAATTAAATCTATCATTTTTTCTCTGTATGAATCAAGTCTTCGAAATCTTCATCCATTCACTCTACCGTTACATTGAAACAGAGACTTTCTAACTTATTGAGGTGCACAAAATAAGAGTTACAAGAACTCCTTATAGGGTGTAATAATGGAATTCTTAAGATCAGAGAAAAGGCCATAGAGAGAGTACTGCCGTAGCTGTTCAACCTCGTACCAGGAATTGAGAACATTGAGGCTCTTGTCTGTCCCTGAGAATGCGAGCTGTATGCCTATGTTGCACCCAGTCCCACCATTGTTGCGGCACTTGGAATTTGGCACTGCGCAGTCTTGATTGTTTATGCAAACGTTTTCTCCTGAGCATTTACCGCACCCGAAGCTTTTCCAATACAAATTATGTAGAATCCCCTCTCCAAATTCAAGAATCTGAGAATCAAATCAAAACCCACGTTTGATACTAGATTCCCACATATAGATCACCTTTAAAAGGATAACATTTAAGCGTAATATGCATGTGCTCGTTATTACATTGTCAAGCAAAAATATGCTAAATATTTTCTTCCAAATCAATATTACTTCATTCGATGTTTCAAAAAGTTTCTTCATTACTGGGAAAAATGATTATCAATAACATTTGGTCCGAATGTTTTATGATTTTGAAGGATCCAGATCACAGATTGTGATGCATAGCGATAATTGAAAAGTGTACCTGAATTTTGATAGAAAAGTAACAAATAAGAGAGCAATGTTAAATCTGTTTACCAGAGTGAGACTAGTAATTGTGTGAGTTTGGTCAGCAAACTTGATTGGTGGTGACCTGGCTGCATATTTTTGTCCAGCAAAGGCGACCATATATCCCCCAGATTTGACCTGATCACCTCACACACTTATTACTCAATTCTTCAAAGCACAAGAATATACACAATAGTTCGGGAGAATTAGCTGGTTTAATTTGTAAGATGCAGAGATCTTCCCTTGGAGATTTGGATAGTGCAGAAATAAATTACACACATCAGAAATATGAGTGAAGAGTTAACAAAGGAGAAGTTGAATTGACGCCAGCTTAGATGAAGAAGCAAAATCAGATTAAATTTCCCTCTCGAGATTCAAACACAGGTTTCCCACATAAACAATTTACCAGCAGAATACGTAAGAACTTGATGGACCTAATTGACTGAAATTAAAGTGGGTACCGGGTCAATGGTGGTGGTGTTAATGGTGAGCAAGGAGAGCTCATCCACCATTGGTCTGAACAATGCGAGCTGTGCACCTTTGTTGGAGAGATCAAGACGACGATCACAAGGCGAAAGCTGAGGACCTCCTTGATTCATAAAGAACGAATCTTTGTCTGAAAATGCAATCCCAAACGTAAAACCATCCCCTCTCTGCACTTTGGCATCCTCGCATGGACTATAAACCCCGTTTGTGTCTGAACCAAAGAAATTTTCACCCAGCCCTTCGGCACCAAACATCATCGTTACCGTCACGACAACCTTAATAATTGTCCCACATACTTCCTTTGTCGTCCCCATGGTTCCTTTTTTTCCTGTCCAGACTCAATCCGGAGCAAGAATCAGAAAAAAGAAAGAACGGAGTTGTATGTGTATTCGCAAGAAAGAAAAGTTTGTGTATGTTCCAAGTAATATGTGATTTAAATTTCAGGGTCAAAGCATGATTTGGATGGCTATGAATAATTAATAAACAATTTTTTATGTTAAATCATGACTTGCGGAAATCCCCGAACACGTTAAAGAAAAGCCAGACGTGCGTGAGATGAAGATTTGCACGATGTATATAGAATATGTGAAGCAAGCAACAGAAAATGAAGAATTGGTGAAGAAGCAGCATATAAAAGAGAATTGCATTGATGCAGCAGGGTGTGTTAGTGATTTAAAACATGCGAAAAGATAAACCTCCAACAATAATGCATTTATAATTATGAATACATTTAACCTTTGGTTCTCAGAAATGCCAATATGGGAGTTGGCCTTTTGAGGTATCAAAGATGATTTGGAAACTGGAGATTTAGATCTGACATTGGGATGTGACATTTTTCTTGGGAAACAATCAGAAAAAAAGGTACTGTAATTACGTGTCTCTCCGTTAACAAGAAGTGCGAAAGGTGCATGAGTCACGAGGCACGAATTTGCGGAGTTAACTAAATTAAAGGTTTTTCATTTTTTGGGTACTTTTTTCCTTTTTGGCGAGCAAAGTTAAAAGTTGCTTGCTTTGTGTATATACTTGGAAAAATGGAATGGAGGTGATTAAAAATATACTAAAGTCAAAATCAAGACATACTTATTATATACTAAGGCACTCCTAATTAAGGAGTAGTTGCAGTGCTCATTTTTAATAGGAAAAATTACACTCAGGTTTCATAGAAGACAATTAATTTCAAAAAAGTCCCTGGAAATCCCGAAATGACTCTGAAATCCCCAGGAACCTGTGTGTAATTAATTGTAATTGTGAAATTATTTATTTACCCCATTAATTTTATTTCAGCAATTTATTTACAACCTCAATAGTGGCTGTTGACAACTCGAGAAGAAGTGGTTGACAACCTCGACAGTGCTCCTGACAACTCAGTGCCCGTTTGGATGAGCGATTGGAAAAGCTACTTATTGAAAAAGCAGCTTATGGATAAGTGAAGTGGGGTAAAAGTTAAATTGGATAAGCTTAATTATGTTTGGATTGGAGTTCAGAAAAGCCCGTTTGCAAAAGTGATATTGGTGAAAAGTTGTTTGGATTATGGTTGAGTAAAAGTAAGTTTGGTTGTAAAATGACCAAAATGGATATAAGTTTTAATAAATAATAAAAAATGGGAAAAAAATAATTTAGCAAGTCAAAGATTTTTTCTTTCGGCTGAGAATGTGGGTTGTTTTCACGTCTTGGGGGCAAAATATTAAAAATAAAAAAAAAGCAAAAAAGGGTAAAACAAAAAAAGAAAATAGCAAACAAAAACCCATTAATATATAAAATTACGATTTGATATTCTCAACTTGAAAAATAACAAATAAAAATTTAATCCTATATTGCTAAATTGAATTTGTCATTTTCTATAGTCTGAGAAGTATTTCAGATATTTAATCAAAATTTTATATTTATAATATAAAATCATGTCTTTATTTACTATTTTTTAAATTAAGAATTCTAAATTATAATTTTTTATATTATGAGTTTTTATTTTCTATTTTTCCAAACGAAAAGTTAAGTACGATGTTTTCTTAATTATTAGCATTATTCAAACGTCGTGGGGCCAGACCATATGGCTTACGGATGCTCTCGGGAAACCAGGCGCCCTAGATCCTCGCCTTCGCAAAAAGCTTCACTAGCCAAACGAAAAATGATAGAGGCCCCAGCGTGAAAATGACCCCCTATTCAACGGTCAAAAAAATAAGCTCCTACAGTAAGGAAATAAGTCACAAAATTCAACTTAAGACAGACCGCACGTTTTGGAGCTTAAAGTGTATAAGTTGCTTTTTTTTTTAAGCCCAGCCAAACGCAACCTCTCAGTCAATCGGGCTTATAAGTAAAAAAAACAGCTTTTAAGCCCAAATTAAGCCTTGCCAAACAGACCCTCACTTTGTGGGATGTCAGGGGTATTGTCGAGGTTCTTAACCACCTCTCTTCGAGTTGTCAATAGCCACTGTTGGTTGTAAATGAATTATATTGAGTTCAAATTAATGGGAGTAAATAGGTAATTTCACAATTATAATTAATTACACACAGGTTTCTAAGGACTTAAGAATCATTTCAAGATTTTTAGGGACTTTTTTGAAATTAACTGTCTTCTGTGAGACCTGAGTGTATTTTTTTTTTTTGGCCAGACTTTGAGGCCAATTTTGGGCATTGAAGGTACGCGCTGTGTGCCTTTTAAGTTCAGCCTTTTATTTAAAAAAAAAAAAAAGCTATCGTAATATTTTGAAAAATCACCATCATATGTTACGATAATTATTACCAGGTACAGGAAAGACACATCCGAGAAAAAAAAGTACAATTTCAAGTGATTTAAATAGTTTCTTTTAAATTGGAAAACCGTACTTCTAGTCCTTAGAGTTTGAGTTAACTTTCGTCTTAGTCTCTACGATTTGTTTTTTGGGGTAGCAATTCTTATAGTTTTACTCTGTTAAACAGTTGGTCTTTCTGTGAGATGACATGGCAAACAGAGCTGACATGGCAACTAACACTGTTATTACATGCTGACATGGGAAAGCGCATGGTCAAAATAGCTTATTGGACCTTTTCTCATAAAAAAAAAAGAAAGAAAGAAGGAACTCATTAATCAAAACACAAATTCCAGAATTAGATATTCTTTGCTTGGTCGAACAAAACTCCATCGTTTCTTTTCCTTCTTTTCAAACCAATGAGCCACACTGATCTAGAGAAGGAGAGACATTAAAGAAATGGCAGGGCAATAAAACTCAATCTGAAAAATGGGTTATTGCATTTCTCTCGCATGAATAAAAAACATATTTGAAAGATGAAGGGACAAACAGTGGAGTTGAGTGCAAGAAAGGGGGTCTCTAATAAATCAAGCATAATGTTTACAGGTTGCTAGCAGAAAAGTGATGGTAGCAGGTTGTGAAATAGAGGGATGGATGGAGAAAAAGATTAATAAACAATATTAGGATATAAGCATCAATCAAGAAAACCTTAAAAAATCATAAAAATCAAAACTTTTCATGAATTATAAACATTCTGACAGCACCTCTAAAGAAATGCATTATGATACCCAAAAAAAAAGTTCTAGAAAGTAAAACAAAGCGCTTAAACCCTCAAAATCCCCAACATTAAAATGTGTAAACAGACAAAAAAAAAAAACTTACAAAGACTCTCCCTCTGAGTAAACAGATACAAAAGAAGCATATAGATCTTGCGTTTTTGTCAGCTGGATTTTGGTCTAGCTTCGTGATCTTGCGAGTTCTGAAGTTTTTGTTTGTCTTTCCTTCTATCATCCCTTTCATATATTGTCCATGTGAGTCTCAAAAATTCAGGGGTAGTAAAACATACAGTCCCGTCTTCCAACTCACCAGCGAGCCCTTCCAAGTCTATCGCTTCGCATCCATCGAACCCAAGTGACGAGACCTGCTTTGCCTACTGCTGCAAATCGATCTCCTCTCTTCCCACCAAGCAACCCTAGCCTACGTTGATTATGCTACGCTGTTCTAGTTTTAGTGTTTTTTTTTTTTTTTTTGTGATTCACCTTTGCCTGCCCATGTGTTCTTCCATATCAGTATATAATAACGACGTTAGTGGCCATGTCAGCTCCGCTTGCCATATCATCTCATGAAAGAACTAACTGTTTAACAGAGCAAAACTATAAAGACTGCTACCTAGGAAAAAAAAAAAACCAAAGTTGACTCAGACTATAAGGACTAGAAGTATGGTTTTCTCTTTTAAAAATATTTCATAATATTTTATACTGATTTCGTCACGACACTGCAAGAGTGGTTAATATGCAGTGATTTTAGTGAATGTTAAAATGCACGGAGGTCCTTTTCCAAAGCAGTAATTGTCAGCTGTTCAATTTTGTTAATGTTCTCATATCTCACTCTAAGACGCTGTAGCGAGGCATCCCGCACAAATGTAAAAAAAAAGTGGGAATTCCCAGACTGAAAGAAATTTACTATATTTAATCTTTTTCACTATTTTCAAATAATTTTTCTTTTATGTCGATTTCTTCTTCATACCGTCAAAACTAGCAATTAGCCCTGAAATACGGGCAGAGATATTTGAATAGATATTCTTAATAAACATATTTTTCTAGAAAAAGAAAAAGTATACTCAATAACCAAAGTGTTAAAAAAATTATTCATATATATGCATGTATTTCAATATTGGACTATTAAAATTAATATAAATGAGCCAATGCATACTTTAAACAAAACGAACATATTTTACGTTTATTTGGATGCAATACTTGGTTATATATTTAAATTAAATAAACACACACACATTAAAAAGAAGTAATCTTTTATTAAAACTTGCATGGTCCAGTACACGTTAACGTTAGCGTAGGTCGGGAAAGTGTGGTAAAAGACCAAAAGTTACATGCTAACCTCAGTGTTTGATATAAAAGTTAGTTTAATTTTTAATTTGATTTTAAATATAAAATCTCAATATATTTTATTTGTCATATTTATTTTTTTTAGAATAGTCCTTCTAGTAATTATATATGTTAAATATTTAATCGAATCACACTTGATTAATAACGGTATTTTAGGTAAGACAAAACTTATTTATTACAAATAATTAACTTACCTAATTTTTCTAATCTAGTCTATTAGCTCTTATATTAACTACATAAGTAGTATTGATTAGCAAATTGGGTAGAGTTACATAATTTCTAAGAAATAAAGCTGCCATTCGTGACAAAATAGAATATGAATGTAAAGAGTTTCCATTATTCATAATCATGCTCGTTTAGATTTTTTTTTTCCATTCCTCTTTTATAATACTGTTTTTTTTTTCCCAATCTATAGTTATTTTTATGGGAGGCGGGGATTGATTTTTTAGAATGTATTATTTTAAA